CCCAGTAAGGTGGCCTTTTGCAGCTGACAGATGGTATTTTTGTCAGCGCCGATTGTATTTAAGTGCAGGCCAAGTGTGCCGATCACCACTGGGACCACCTTTACTGGCTTATGCCAGAGTCTTTGCAGTTCGATCTTTAAATCCTTTTATTGTGTCAGCTTTTCCAGTTATTTCTCTTCAATCCTGCTGTGTCCAGGTTGGTTTCTCGTGTGCTCTGCTATAGCTGATTTCCTTGGTTGAATTAATCTGCAGTGCCTTTCATGCTCTTTGATTCATGTCTTCATGCAGTCATGCTGGCCACATGACCATGGAGGTGTATGTATGTTTTAGTATGCTTCCTTTACTTTATGGTGTCTGAGAAGTTATAAAAGGGGCTGCAGACCACATGCTTGCTCTCTCTTCTTTTAACTATGTGACCTGTTCATAACTGTTTTGTTCTAAGAGATTTATTTATTGTGTCAGGAGCAGACCAAACAGTTACGTTGCATTTTTAACAAACAAACAAACAAACAAACAAAACACAAAGTTTGCAGGCTTGGTAGTAGATTAAATGTCCTTTGACCAGTAGCTGGCCACTTGGAGTGCCTCTGGTGTTGCTGAAAGAAGGTCCTCCATTGTGCATGTGGCAGGGCCCAGGTTGCATTGCAGCAGGTGGTCTATAGTTTGCTCTTCTCCACACTCGCATGTTGTGGATTCCACTTAGTAGCCCCATTTCTTAAGGTTGGCTCTGCATCTCGTGGTGCCAGAGCGCAGTCTGTTCAGCGCCTTCCAAGTCGCCCAGTTTTCTGTGTTCTAAGTGATGTTTTGGCCAGATGGCACAGAGAATTATCTCAAACTTAACTGAAACTGGATTGATAAGTTTTGTACTGTGTATGCTGAACTCACGAAGGTTGTGAGTAAACCAAATAAGTTATTTTTCAAATCAAAGTCTATTTCATTTTTGTCTCTTGAGTGCATGATATAAAACAAGTTGTTTTATGGGGGAGTGTATATTTTTGGGCACTGAAAGACATTTCTGAAGCACAGCTGTTTTGTTTTTTTTAATGCACTGGCAAAATCTCTGTTTTCTGAACAGATCAGAGATAACAGGCTACTCAGTCTAACACCTGAAACCATTGCCTTGAATAATTTATACAGGGTGAGGCAGCATAACTTCCTTTTTTAAAATGCGTGCCATTTGAAGACGTAGCGGAGTGCTAGTGGTCTCGTTTGAGGGTGGGAGTATAAAGTTTTGTCCTGACACAGTTAAGTCCCCACCATGCATTGGAACAGTGAGGAGCGTGCTTTTGCCGTTGAGGCTTACTTTTCGAGCAGATTTGGAGTGGCCGGCCCACTCTCCAGATTTGGCCCCTTGTGATTTTTTTCTATGGGGTTTTTTGAAATTCCGTGTTTATGTGAACCATCCAAAGACCCTACAAGATTTGAAGACCAACAGGAAGAAATTGCCAACATAATGTCTGCTACGCTGGCAAGAGTCATGACAAACGCCAGAAATCGGTTTACTCAGTGTATGGAGAATGGAGAATGGGGGACGTCACCTACCTAATCTGATCTTCAAAACTACGTAAAACAAAACTTTAGGTATGTGCCTACATTATAAAAAAATAAATAAAAATTTCTGATTCATACAATGGGTTTTATTAAGTTTTGAAAAAAGGAAGTTATGCTGCCTCACCCTGTATCTGGCTATATACCACAAGAGAAGATTCTACTCTAAAGGGGTTTCTGGCTCTTCTCGAAAAGGCCTTTTCCAAAAGGTTATGAATGCTATTTTCCAAAAGTTCAATGTGTTTCCTCCCAACTGGGGGTAGACTTTATAGAAACCATGTGAATAATGCTTGCTTGGGAAAGGTTTCCAAGTGTGGACTGCCCTTTCAGAGAACAAGGGAACAAAAAATGAAATTCCCAGGAAGTCTAGGTGTGACATGGTTCTGGGGAGGGAGTGTATCAGGAGGGGAGAAAGTCGGCGGGTTCCCTTTGCCCTCCGCTTTGGCATCCTGCCCAGGACAAGGAATTTGGGGAATGAAGGGAGTGATCTAATCCAACAGGGCTAAATACTTTCCTCTTGGCCTTGGACTGCCACCCAGAGGCTCAGCGTGTCACTTTCACCTAAGAGTGGCACCTTGCCCCTCCAAGTGCCTGCTTGCAGCTTAAGGATGTGAAGGCAGGTGCACACAATGTATATCAGGCATAGGCAAACTTTGGCTCTCGGGGTGTTTTGGACTTCAACTCCCACAATTAATAATAATTTATACCCGTCTCCATCACCCCAAGGGGACTCAGGGCAGCTAACATGAGGCCGAGCCCAATAGTTACAACAAAGCAAAACAAATGCAGCATACAATCATAAAATAATACATAAAATAAAATACAATAAAATATATGGAAAGAAAGAAGGAGAGTAATACAAAATAAACACAGGGTACAACAAAATAAGCAAAGATATTAAGCCGAGTGGGCAGGGCCAAGTACAGAGGATTGGATTTTAAAACCCTGTGTGAGGCAGATAAATAGGGTGATGCATCTCGTGGGGTTCAGATGGGACAACCAAAGGGAATTAATTTCAACCAAAGGATGAGATAAAGTGCATCAAAGGGCATTTTGTACTGAATTGATCAAGGTAAGGGAATTTGATGTTCATTCCTGGAAGGCACACCTAAACGGCCAGATTTTTAGGCTCTTCCTGAAGGCTGCCAGGGTGGGTGCTTGCCTAATCTCTCTGGATAGCGAGTTCCAAAGTCCAGGGGCCACTACAGAGAAGGCCTTCTCCTTCGTTCCCACAAGTCGCGCCTGCAAAGGAGGTGGGAGCGAAAGGAGGGCCTCCCCTGATGATAGGTAGGCAGGTCCCAAATCGTTCAGGGCTTTGTAGATGATAACCTACACCTTGAATTGGGACCTGATGAATGGCAGCCAATGGAGCTCCTTAAACAGGAAAGGGCTTGAGGCTGTTTGGAATTGTGGGAGTTGAAATCCAAAACACCTGAAGGGCCCAAGTTTGACCTATATAGTAATATAAATAATGCAGACACACACAGAGGAGTGATGCAAAATTAGATGCTCCTGAAAAGCAGTGTTGTCTGCTGTTGCCTTCACAGCATCACATGAACAATCCCCCCCCCCTTTCCCCTGTCGATCACCCCCGCCCCTAATTCGGAATCTCTTTCTTCCTGTCGATTCTGGGAGGTATTGCATCAGAAAGAAAGAAAAAAACGCTTGGCCACCTTGGGGAACAAAGGCCCCGCTCCTTCTGCCTAAGGTGGGCGATTTTCCGGGTCAGCAGCAAGCCATTCTATGGAGCCCTCGGAAGACTTCCTTCCCGCGCCTCCCCTCCTTTTCTCTTTGCAAACGGTGCCGGGCAGAATGAATGCCCGGCCTTGATTCACAGACGCGGCGTGGAAAGAAAGACCAAGGGCGTGGAAAGCGCGGCGTCTCCCTGAACACGAGCAAAGGCAGGGCAGGGGCCAGCCTTTCCAAACACCACCGAGATTCCTTGAACTTTGGGGAGAAATTGGCAGATCTTGAGGGATATATTGTGGGAAAAGCAAGGATAGTACAAGAAGGGACCTCAAGGTGCTTGAGTCAGCCTGAGTGTGAGGCTATGGGTGCAGAATTAATGCAGTTTACTGATTCCCCAGCACTGCCAGGGCTCAGTGCTAGGGAATCATGGGAGTTGTAGTCTTACAAGGCTTTGGCCTTCACTGCCAAAGACCAAACCTCAGTCCCCAGAATTCCATACAGCATTCAAGTGGTGTGAAACTGAATGGGTTCGAAACACACTCGCCTGGCTTAATTTGGTGAAGACTGGGTTGGCGTCCCCGCCAGTCATGAAACCCACTGGGCCAGTCACACTCTCTCAGCCTCAGAGGGAGGCAGAGGAGAGCCTCATCTTCTGCTCAACTCTGGAGAGTGGCGCCCTAAGTGGGGATGGAAGGGCTTGGAAGCGGAAGAGATGGATTACTGTGAGTTTTCCGGGTTGTATGGCCATCTTCCAGAAGCATTCTCTCCTGAATTTTCGCCCACATCTATGGCAGGTGTCCTCAGAGGTTGTGACGTCTGTTGATAAGTAGGCAAGTGGGATTTTTTTCTATCTTTCTGATGCAATACCTCCCAGAATCTGTGGAATATCCAGGGTGGGAGAGGGAAGTGTGAATTTTGCAATTGGCCACCTTGATTAGCATTGAATAGTCTTGCAGCTTCAAAACCTGGCTGGTTGCTGCCTGGGGGAATCCTTTGTTGGGAGGTGTTAGCTGGCCCCGATTGAGTCTTGTCTGGAATTGCCTGGCTTAGGTGGACTCTCTTTGGATTTGCCCTGCTTTTTGAGTGTTGGATCTTTATTTGCTGTCCACAAGCATGTGGACAATTTCAACAGAAAGGAGGAAAAACCATGAAAACGTACAAAATCTGGCAACCAGTATTTAAAAACTAAAAAATCAGGACAGTAAATAAAGAACAACACTCAAAAACGGGAATTCCAGACAAGAAACAATCAGACCCAGCTAATACCTCCCAACAAAGGATATCCCAAGGCAGAAAGCAGCCAGGCTTTGAAGCTGCAAGGCCACTCAATGCCTATCAGTTGGAACATTCACACATGTCTCAAGTGGACTAGTCTTTCTCCCACCCTGGACTTTCCACAGATATATAAACCTCATTTGCCTAGTTTCCCATAGACCTCACAACCTCTGAGTATGCCTGGCATAGGTGTTGGGGAAACGTCAGGAGAGCATGCTTCTGGAGCATGGCCAGGGAAACTCACAGCGACCCAGTGATTCCGGCCATGAAAGCCTTCGACAACACATGGAAGAGATGGGCTCCCCTCCTCCTCCTCCCCCCCCCCCTCCTTGGCACCTCTCCTTGGGGCGGGGGACGCCTTTGAGGCCCCTCAGCCAAGGAGTCCTGTTCTCTCTCTCCTCCCCCCCCCCCCGCCTTCGCCTGTTCTCCGGAGTTTCCAATCGGCACCCTCCTTCCATCGTACGATCCAGGGCGGCGTCTTCAAAGCCCCCTTGGCGCCTCTCTCCCTCCCCGTCCTTTTCTCTCCCTGGAAGGAGGGAGTGAGGGGGGGGGGTCTCCTGGGCAGAGCGCGTCTCTTGCCGGGAATGATGCAAGAGCCCTGAGCCAGTCTTCGGGGCGTGTGTGGCGGAGGGAGGCTGGCGCTGCTCCTCTCGGGCAAGTGCCGCTCGCCTTTTATCGATCGCCCGAGGGCTATAAAAGGGGGTGGCCGTGGCTCCACGCGTCCTGCCTTCCTTCCTGCCAAGGGGAGCTCTTCACCGGAGGGGATCCCGCGCCCAGAGCTCTTCTCTCTGTGTCTCTCCGTTCCTTCTGCTCTGCTCTGCTCTGCGGAGGGTGCCTTCGGGGCGGCGAGGATGTGGCGGCGGGCGCTGCCCTTGCTGGGGGCCCTGCTGGGCTTGGCGCCCCTGGCCTCCCGCGCCCTCCCTCTCACCGACGCCGGGCCCCACGTCAGCTACGGCTGGGGAGAGCCCGTCCGGCTCAGGCACCTCTACACCGCGGGACGGCAGGGCCTCTTCAGCCAGTTCCTCCGCATCCACGCCGACGGGAGAGTCGACGGCGCCGGGAGCCAGAACCGGCAGAGTAAGTCCGCTTCCCTTGGAGGAGGAAGAAAAGGCGGAGAGAGGGGGGACCCATGCCTCAATATTGGGAAGGATGTCCCATGGAAGAGGAGGGAAAGCTTGTTTTCCGCTGCTCTGGAGACAGAGTAGGACAGGGAGCAATGGAATCAAGTGCCAGGGAAAGAGAGTCCACCTAAGCCAGGCCTGGGCTAACTTGGGCCCTCCCTCCAAGTGTTTTGGACTGCAGCTCCCACCATTCCTAATGGCAGGGAAAGAGAGTCCACCTAAGCCAGGCCTGGGCCAACTTGGGCCCTCTCTCAGGTGTTTTGGATTGCAACTCCCACCATTCCTAACAGCCTCAGGCCTCTTCCTCGCTTAAGCGGCTGAAGGAGAAAAGGAAAGGTCCCGAGGCTGTTAGGAATGGTGGGAGTTGCAATCCAAATCCCCTGGAGGGAGGGCCCAAGTTGGCCCATGCCTGAGCTAGATGCTTTCCCCCCTTTGTGGACACATTGTCAGGAATATATACCAATCAGGAGCTTATCTTTATTGATCCAAAACCCAAGGCAGTTTGGAAGGTATGGCCTTTGGTGGTGTTTCCAAATTGCAAAAGAATTTGAGTTTTCACAAGATGGGATGGGATTCAGAGCTGTTAAGCTCAAAATAACCACCTGGATGGAGGGCCCAAGTTGTCCCAGGCCTGGGGCCCTCATCACGGTAGAGAAAAAATCCACTTAAATGTATTGTCAAAGGCTTTCATAGCTGGAATTACTGAGTTGTTCTAGAAGCATTCTCTCCTGACGTTTCGCCTGCATCTATGGCAAGCATCCTCAGGGGTTGTGAGATCACAACCTCTGAGGATGCTTTCCATAGGTGCAAGCGAAATGTCAGGAGAGAATGCTTCTAGAATATGGCCATACAGCTCGAAAAACCTACAACCGAATCCACTTAAAATATGGTTTCTACCTCCTGCAGAATTCTGGGGTTTGTAGTTTAGGGAGGAGCCTTTAACAGTCTCAGTAAACTACAAACCTCATAATTCTGCAGGAGGCAGAAATCGGATTTTAAGTGGATTTTTTTCTCTAGTGTGATGAGGCCCCTGGTTTAAGTATGACCACCCACCACCAGGAATGAGAAGCCAACAGATAGAAGAGTTCTAGAGGCGACCAGTTTTCCATAAGATGCAAAGCAGGGGATTTGTGGACCCAAAGGGGAAAAAAGTCATGAGAGACAGGATTCCCATTGGATGGCCATGCCCAACCCACCTCATGGAGTGGCACCCCTAGTGAAGCACAAGAAGCCGCCCTGAAACAAATCACTCTGAAAAGTGCCACCAAACTACTTTGCAGAGGAAGGTGTCTCTGGATTCCATATCTTTGAGGGTTTCCAAAAAGCGATGACTCCCCTCCTCCCCCCCGCTCCTCCTCCTTCCCACGCGTGTGGTCCCGTGACGCCTCCTCCGTCTGTTCCTCGTGGCAGGTTTGCTGGAGATCCGCGCGGTCTCGTTGCGCGCCGTGGCCCTCAAAGGCGTGCACAGCTCCCGCTACCTCTGCATGGAGGAGGACGGCCGGCTCCGCGGGATGGTGAGTATCGTCCGTGGCACCAAGGGCCGCGCCTCCCTCCCTCCCTTCCCACCTCCACAGCCATGGATCCGTCCTTTCCCGGAAGGAAGACCACGTGGCGGATTCAAACAACAACAAGCCCTGCTCTCGGACCATCCAGAGCCAAGGCAGGGAGCTCGCCTGCATGATATTCTTGGCAGGCGCCAATGCGGTCTCAACACTTTGTGCCTGTTTGAAATCACACATTCAAAACAGATTGAGGAGCAGAGTCATTAGGCTCTTGGTGTGAATTAGCACAACAAGCCTCATCAATTGAGGAAGGGAAGGTAGAAGAAACCAGGAAGGTTATTTTGAAAACGCCAGCCCTGCTGGTGGGATCAGGAGAAAGGAAATCCCTCATTTTCTACATGCCCCATTTTACAGTGTGGTCAATTGAGGATCAGTTGCTCTCCCTTTGCGTTCAGGAGAAGTTGGACCCCACTCATCCCCCCCCCCCCTTTCTCTTATCCTCCAGCCTTGTTAGTGTTTTGTTTTGGGAGTAGAGGCGGGGCCCACAATGTTGTTCTGGAATGTGGACTGCCATGCTTTATTGTTTGTTTATCTTTTTCTTCCGGATCTGTTTCAAGGATCACCAGGCCAAGTCTTTGCCTTTATCTCCTCCTGTCCTCACAGCACCCCAGAGGAAGGCGAGTCTGCCAGATAAGGACACCACCGCAGGCCACCCAGTCTGCCTTCTGGCTAGGCAAAGAGTCCAGACCACAATCCCCTCATCCAACCTTTTTGCTTGTACTTCACAAAAGGAAGAAGTTTGTATAATGCCCCCTCCTTCCCTGCCGTTTCTTAATATTTTTGCCCCATCTTAAATTAGAATCACATCCATAGAATCATAGAGTTGGAAGAGACCTCATGGGCCATCCAGTCCAACCTCCTGCCAAGAAGCAGGAAAATTGCATTCAAAGCACCCCCGACAAATGGCCATCCAGCCTCTGTTTAAAAGCTTCCAAAGAAGGAGCCTCCACCACACTCCGGGGCAGAGAGTTCCACTGCTGAATAGCTCTCTCGCACAATTTGGAAGTTCTTCCTAATGTTCCAGTTAAATCTCCTCTCTTGTAGTTTGAAGCCATTGTTCTGCGTCCTAATCTCCAGGGCAGCAGAAAACAAGCTTGATCCCTCCTCCCTATGACTTCCTCTCACATATTTATACATGGCTATCATGTCTCCTCTCAGCCTTCTCTTCTCCAGGCTAAACATGCCCAGCTCTTTAAGCCACTCCTCATAGGGCTTGTTCTCCAGACTCTTGATCATTTTAGTCACCCTCCTCTGGACACATTCCAGCTTGTCAACATCTCTCTTCAATTGTGGTGCCCAGAATTGAACACAATATTCCAGGTGTGGTCTAACGAAGGCAGAAAAGAGGAGGGGTAGCATGACTTCTCTGGATCTAGGCACTGTATACTATTGATGCAGGCAAAAATCCCATTTGCTTTTTTTGCCACTGTATTACATTGTTGGCTCATGTTTAACCTGTTGTCCACGAGGACCCCAACATCCCTGGCCATACAACCCTTTTCTAGTGAGGTACGTTGTCTTTTCCAAAAACTAGAAAAAGGATTGTTGGGTTGCTGTGAATTTTCCGGGCTGTATGGCCATATTCTAGAAGCTTTCTCTTCTGACGTTTTGCTCACACCTATGGCAGGCATCCTCAGAGGTTTTGAAGTTTGTTGGAAACTACTCAAGTGAGGTTTATACAGTAGTGTCTTGCTTATCCAACAGAAATGGACCAACAGAACATTGGATAAGTGCAAATGTTGGATAATAAGGAGGGATTAAGGAAAAGCCTATTAAACATCCAATTACATTATGATTTTACAAATTAAGCACCAAAACATCATGTTTTACAACAAATCGACAGAAAAAGCAGTTCAGTACATGGTAATGTTATGTAGTAATTACCGTAGTTACGAATTTAGAACCAAAACATTGCAGTGGAGGCAGACTGTGAAGGCAGACTACATTGGATAATGCAGAACTTTTTGGATAATACAGAACATTGGATGAGCGAAGGTTGGATAAGTGAGATTCTGTTGTATATCTGTGGAATGTCCATGGTGGAAGAAAGAACTCTTGTCTGTTTGAGGCAAGTGTGAATGTTGCAATTGGCCAGCTTGATTAGTATTGAATAGCCTTGCATCTTCAAAGGTTTCCAACAGACCTCCCAACTTCTGAGGATGCCTGCCATAGATGTAGGCAAAACGTCAGGAGAGAATGCTTCTGGAACATGACCATACAGTCAGGAAAACTCACCTCAGCCCAGTGATTCCGGCCATGAAAGCCTTCAACAACATAGGATTATTGTTCATGCTGAAGACTAACAGGTCAGAGGTTTGAATCCAGGGAGAACGCAGATGAGCTCCCTCTATCAGCTCCAGCTCTCCAGGCAGGGACATGAGAGAAGCCTCCCCCAAGGGTGGTAAAACATCAAAACATCTGGGCATCCCCTGGGCAATGTCCTTGCAGACGGCTAATTTTCGCACACCAGAAGCGACTTGCAGTTTCTCAAGTTGTTCCTGAGACGACAAAAAAATATAAATAAATGGTAGAGCAGAATATATAGAATAAATTGACTCGTTTCTGTCAAAGTTTAGAACTTCTTATTTGAAAGAGGTAATTACTTTTCTCCAGTTGATATCAGCTCTGGTGGGATATGTTTGACACAGATTGCATGGAGGTGTGACTGATATTAACATTTTATCTTATCAGCTGCTTTTATGTAGAAATTGTATGTGCTAGATTGCTATTCACTTAGTGCCAGACTCAATGGAATACTGAAAGGGTATTATGGTCTTCTACTTATTTCTTAATTTAATGTCCCTGCTTTATACAAATAATAATAATAAATAATAATAAAACTTTATATACTGCCCTATCTCCCCAAGGACTCTGAGCGGTTTTCACATATGCAAAATAATTCAAAAACATACAATATAAAACAAAAACATAGGCATAAACTGTTAACACAACATATACATTAAAATCAATTTAAAACCAGTTTCGCACTCTTCTTCGTGCAAGGTAAACTGCCAGGGGCCAAGATTTCAATAAGTGGCCTGGACTATTAATGCTATAATAGGGCTTTTTGAACTCCAGGTCTATCAGAACAACATGTTTTCCCTGTTAGGGAAAACTACCCAAAAATAAGCAGAGCATCCAAAATACAAACAGAATACCTATAGTTGAGCAATCAGCTCACAGCAAGCAGAGCGGGAAGTGCCGTGTGATGTGGCTGTAAAGAATTTAGAGCTGAGGCAGGCAAAGATGCAGAGTTCTGTCTTTATAATTCCAAAAGGTGTATTTACATTAAAAAATAACTACATTTCTTAATGGTAAATAACTGGGTCAGAGCTACTCTAACACCTATTTCTTTTAAGGTTTCAAGAGAGAGGGAAAAACACCAATTGCTACATCTCTCCTGACACACACACAGAGATCTCAAAACACACCGCACATACTAAGATGAAAGAAACAGAAGTCAGAAGTAAAGACTTGCAGTAGAAAAGTATCTGTTCTACACAACCAGTCAGAAGTAAAGGCTTGCAGTAGAAAAGTATCTGTTCTACACAACCAGTTAGAAGTAAAGGTTTGCAGTAGAAAAGTATCCGTTCTACACAACCAGTCAGAAGTAAAGGCTTGCAGTAGAAAAGTATCCGTTCTACACAACCAGTCAGAAGTAAAGGCTTGCAGTAGAAAAGTATCCGTTCTACACAACCAGTCAGAAGTAAAGGCTTGCAGTAGAAAAGTATCAATTCTACACAACTAGTCAGAAGTAAAGGCTTGCAGTAGAAAAATATCCGTTCTACACAACCAGTCAGAATGTGAGCAGAAGCAGAGGGGAGAAAAGAAACAGATACAATCCCAACTGTCATACAGGAGACATGAGTGAAGGGATTCCCTCAGCTTATTATAAACTAACTAACTTCTCTTTGAGGACTGGAGACTTGGACAGTGTGGGGCTGAATTCCAACATTCACCTGGTCAGATTTTGTGTCAACACTGGGGACGCTTTTTCAGTATTTAGACTGTAGCATGAGTTAAGAACACAATACACAGATGTGTATACATATCAATGGCACATTTGTATAATTGAACCCAGTGAAATGTATTCCAAATGTCTGAGTACAGTCCTATGTGTGTTTACTCAGAAGTAGATCATTAGTGCTTAATCACATGTAGCTGGGTGCAGGATTGCAGCCATATGCAGAAAGAGGTTTTATTCCCTGCCCCACCAAGTTTTGAAAGCCCAGAGACCATGTGTGGAAACAAATACATTTTTCATCTTTGCATATGTAGTATATTGGGCTAAATATTAGTCTGAAATACATAATATATATCATTCCTGCTACTTTGTATCGTTCACATCCAGTTTACTCTATAATGGATAGGGAGTAAACAGTTAAGTCATTCTTGTGTATTTGTCACTTTAACTTGCTTGTAGGTGTTGGTGGATAGTAAATTTCATTATGAACTTTAAAGGAGCTGTCCAAAGTGCTGAATATACAGAAAGCCCCAAATATGTATGGACCAGGTATGGGCAACCTTGGGCCCTCCAAGTGTTCCAACTCCCACAATTTCTAACAGCCTCTTCAGCGGCTGAGGGGGAAGAGGAAAGGGCCTGAGGTTGTTAGGAATTGTGGGATTTGAAGTCCAAAACACCTGGAGGGCTCAAGTTTGCCCATGCCTGGTATAGACCCTTTCACAAGTAATAATAGCTATGGTGATTATTTGAAGATTAATTAAATATATTTCTTTTGAAGAATACATGTTACAATGATAATTTAATCAGAATTCATCTTAAATATTAATTTTATGTAAGGGACTCAAATGTCATCCCTCCTCAGCAGTGCTTGCATTGTCAAAGCATAGAGTTGCAAACCTAGTTTCAGATTTTTCTTGTAATTTGTAAAAATATTCCAAAAGATATTTGCAGAATTATGAGATGTTATGGATGTATCCATTTTGAGGAGACACCAAAATTTGGGAACAATTTTTTTTCAGTTTGAGGGGATATTTAAAGAAGAGACTCATTACCCCACTGATATGGAAAGCACAAATCATTACTACCTGGCCATTAAAAGCATTGCTGACACTATGATCTTTCAACAGAAGCCTACATGACATTTTCAGAAAAAGAGATATACTATAATAACTTCCATTCACAGTTCCCAAATATACATATGTATATTATGTGCTAATACCTATTTTAGTTCATAACATTTCTTATATGTCGAATACCCTTTTCCATGGATTTAAACAGAAAGCTGTATAATAATAATAATAATAATTATTATTATTATTATTTATTTATTTATATTCTGCTCTATCTCCCCAATGGGACTTAGAGCAGATTACAACATGCAAATATATAGACAAACATTCAGTGTCTTTAATACAATGAAATAACAATGACACACAAATACACAGAACAAAGGTAAAGGCTTCCCCTTTCATCTCTGGCTTCTGGAGGTGGTGCTCAACTCCAGCCATGTGGAGGTGCCTTTTTCCCATTTCCAAGCTGAGGAGCCTGTTGTCCATAACACTTCCTGGTTGTGTTGCCGACATGGCCACATGGGCACCTTTATTACCTTTCCGCCGAGGCTGTACCTATTGACCTATTTACATTTGCATGTTTTCAAACTGCTAGGTTGGCAGGAGCTAGTGCTAACAGTAGGAGCTTACCCCCACCCATGGCTTCGAACTGCCAGCTGTAATGCAAACTGATCTAAATGTGCAATTATAAAATAGGTCTTGATTATAATTCCCAGAACCTTCCAGCCAACATGGCCAGCAGCCATAACCAAAAAGTTCAGAAAGTGCCTTCTCCCACTTCTGTGAAAGAGCAGAGTTTAATAACTTGCATGGCTGTACTGCCAATTTGAAGACATTTAACCAATCTTGTTAAACAACAAAACATGTTCTCGCGACATCTGGCAGCTCAGTTAGCATTTTGAGAATGTTTGGACTCATCAAAGCAGTTCTGCTCTCAAATGTTGGGCATGTGTACAAAGAAAGTGTGGCATAGGTCTTTGACAGGTAAAGAGTTCATGCAGGAACAGCCTTTCCCTTATCTTGGCCCTATACGCAATCAGCAATACTCTGCTGGCCAAGAGGTCAGTCACCTCCAATGACTGAACCAGAATAACACCAGGTTTAAAAGAAAACACGGGCATAAAAGACACGGATCACCCTGAAACGACCATCAAATTATTAATAAGCTAGTCCTCTTACATTAGCAAACATGTTTGAGGACTCAACATGCAGAATATATGTAAAATCAGCTATCTGTTTTATTATACAATAAATCCTTCTTTTTTTCTTTTTCAAAGGAAGTGGGAATTTCTCAATGGATTATATGTTACACTGGTGGTTCACATCTATGAGAAAGTAACATTTCATACGTGCATCTTAAATGTTGACACATAAACTGTGTTCACTGTTATTTAAATTATATACATATATATTAGTTCATCATGGATAGGGGCATTGTGGACTGTATCCCCTTCACTTGGGAACACTTTGCTAAGTGCCACTGGGCAGGTTGAAAGGTAATGATGCCCTACAGTAGAAATGGGTGCATTGAACCTTCCTCCATTTGGATTCTGGCTGTATCCTCTGGTGCTTCATTGCATAGAATAGTCAAAATCAAGAGTGCAAATCCAACAGCCTAATATTATAAACCTCAATGACACCCCCAACCTCAATTTTTAAAAAAACCTCCAAAAAGATAGTTTTAAATTTAATACATATTCAGGCTCCCCCGCCCGCCAAGAACATATAATATTCAATGTTTGTTTTTGTTGTTGTTAGCTGTCATCAAGTCGACTTCATCTTACGGTGACACCCTGAATAAGAGGCCTCCAAGTTACCTTATCCACAACAGCTCTGCTTGGGTCCTGTAGATTCGGGGATGTTGTTCCCTTGATTGAGTCTATCCATCTGGAATGCATTCTTTAATTTTTTTTCCTGTTGCCTTCTATCTTACCAAACATCATGGCAATGTCAAATCTGTTGAATCTAATTTCACTTCTAGTTTTTTGGGGAAGACCAGCAGTGTACAGTCCATGAATGTTCAGAAAGCCAGAAAATGTAGTAGATGCCCACTCTTCCCTAGCCCACATGGCATAGTAATCCTGAACCAAGAACATAACTAGGTTATGCTGACAACACTTTGCCTGTCTGATTGGGTCATGGAAAGGCCACTCCATGACCTCATTCAGAACTAAGGGTGCTCCTACACTGTGGAATGAATGCAGTTTGACTCCACTGTAACTGCCATGGCTCAATGCTAGGAAATCCTGGGAGCTGTAGTTTGGTGAGGCACCAGCACTCTTTGGCAGAGAGAGCTAAAGGCATTCTAAAACTACAACTCCCAGGATTCCATAGCATTGAGCCATGGCAGTTACAGTGGTGTCAAACTGCATTCATTTCACCGTGTAGATGCATCCCAAGTTCTGCATAACAGCTGTTTTACCATGCTGCCTCAATTTTTCTGTCTCTGCACCTTGTTGCCATTGTTTGTATTTAACAGCTGGGACTTGTAAATAACACCATACAAATTATTATTATTATTATTATTATTATTATTATTATTATTCGTGTCAGGAGCAACTTGAGAAACTTGCTGTCTGCAAGGACGTTGCCCAGGGTACACCTGCATGTTTTACCATCCTGTGGGAGGCTTTTCTCATGTCCCCAAAAAGGAAGCTGGAGCTGACAAAGAGGAGCTCACCTCACTCCCCAGATTCAAGCGGGGTGAGCTTCTGTCTGTCTGCTCCAGTTTCCCTTGTGGGGACATGAGAGGAGCCTCCCACAGGATGGTAAAATAAATTATTGATTCTTAATGCACAGACTGAAAAAAATATACAAAAGAAAATCCACACCAATCCCCTATCCATGCCAAAAGCAAGAATAATTTGTAAATGCTACTTTTTGTACAAATTACCTTTTAAAATGGAAAGGACACTCAGTAAAGGAAGACACATATTTGAGTATGCAAGCCCTGAGCAAGACTGTTCATAACAGGACTTTTAGGATGCCTCCCATTCATGTTGTTTAAAGCTGACTAAACATCATTTAACAACACTGAAACCAGGGCTTCCCAGCTAGGGAAGTGTTGATTAATATGATGTGATCTGCTTTCTTTAAAATGTTTCTGCTTTCTAGCCAATAAGAATAAGAGAAATGACACTTCACCTGAGTATTTGGTGTGCTATTTTTGAAAATAATTATTCACCCCACATATTTACCTTTGCCCCTTGATGTTCAGCTCAGATATTCCGCAGAAGACTGTTCCTTTGAAGAGGAGATGCGTCCAGATGGTTACAACATCTACAAGTCAAAGAAATATGGAGTTTTGGTCTCCCTAAGTAATGCTAGACAAAGACAGCAATTCAAAGGGAAAGATTTTCTTCCTTTGTCTCATTTCTTGCCGATGATCAACACTGTGCCAGTGGAGTCTGCAGACTTTGGAGAGTATGGCGACACCAGGCAGCATTATGAATCGGATATTTTCAGTTCACGCCTTGAAACTGACAGCATGGACCCTTTTGGCCTCACTTCAGAAGTGGCATCGGTACAGAGTCCTAGCTTTGGGAAATAATGAGGGCTCTGTAACTTTACCTATAGTCCCCAGAAAACAACACCAGCAAGCAAGCACAGTATTTCTAGTTGTGATATCTAAAACATAAGGCCATGTTAAATGTCGTACTGTCCTTGTCAAGCAAGTGATAATACTACTCCTAAGAAAACTGACACAGCAAAATGGGGTATATGCACACACATGTGCATGCATGCACACAAACACACACAGAATTAAGGAAAGTTCTTCCTAACAGGTGCTGTTAAATTTAGGAATGACAAATGCAGAGGACAGGAAATCCTGTTCTGGTGCTTGTTTGGAGGATAGGATCATGAATATTGTACAGGGTCATTATTTCTTTTGATCACTTCATGACAGGTAGTAAATACTGTTCATTCAAAGGAGAATCATTTCTCCTCCTTATGTGCACTAGTGTTAGATATAAAATAGGAACAAGTAAAAAACTTTTTAAAAAGATCTTCAGGAAACAATACATTTTACTGATATCAGCTCCAGTTAGAGTAAACTCACTGAAATGATTGAATTGCATGTTAGTCATTACTAACATAAATCCCATTGATTTCAGTGACTGCACTAAATGGGACCATTGCTGGACTTTTCACAATCTCTACCACTGCTATTGAAAGATGACTGACATGGATCAGGACTAATATTGGTCCCTAGTAAATTAGAGAAATTAAACAGACTCTGTGCTATTTTTTAGCAAGCCAATGTCTACTGTTAAATAGCACACACGCTTTTTTCAAGCAGTGAAGCTATAAACATTTAAAGTGATAACATCGTCAGAAAACACAAATAGGGTTCAATTTGGGGAAACAAAAAATAAATGAACAGGTAATTAATTATATTTTCTCAAAAGGGTAAGAATCTGCATCGCCTCAAAAACTGACAAACTGCTGGTATTCCCATAATTCTTTTGCATTGGTCAGTAGGATGGTAAAGATGATCATTGGAGCCCAACAATATAGGGCAGTGGTGCTCAACCTTTGGGTCCCCAGATGTTTTGGCCTATAACTCCCAGAAATCCCAGCCAGCTTACCAGCTGTTAGGATTTCTGGGAGTTGAAGGCCAAAACATGCGGGGATCCACAGGTTGAGAACCACCGATATAGGGAAAGGGGTCCACAGTTCCCCAGCCATACTAAGAAATTTATTTACAGTATTTATATTGTGCCCTTATCACCCCAAAGGGGACTCAGGGCAGATCACAAACATTCAATACTGCTATACACTGACAGGACAGACACAGTACATAGAAGTATATAGGCTTTTCCCATTTTTGGTGTCTTGGAGGTTGCGCTTGATTCCAGCCATTGGGGGGAGGGGAATGACGCTCGATCTACCATGCCGAAGAGCCCTGTTCACAGACTTCCTCCTTTAATCGAATCGCTGGCATTTTTCTGATATTTCCTTGTGCCATTAAAATACCTCCCCACTTAAGCAGTACCTATTTATCTACCCTCAGCTGATTTCAATCTGCTAGATGGACAATGAGCTTGGTTGAAGTGTTCACCCTCAACCCGGGCTTTGAACTGCCAACTTTTTGATTGGCAAGATATATTGCAGCAGGTGATTAACCTGCTGTGCTAAAGCCCGGCCCAAAAAGAACCACAATTAGAACTTCACTATAGGATTAAGCAATTTTGTGCAGCTACACATGTCCATACCTTTTATTAAAGTAAAGTAAGTTATTCTTACCAGTAGGAGATGTTTTGTTTTAAATTATTACTGATTTCAATTAAAGGGTGTTATATATTACTATGAGTAAATATTTCATAGAAATTTTGTACATATCAGTTTTCTAATGTAGAAAAATAGTGAATGACCAGATGTGGAAACGAGAGAAAACAGCCTTTTGCAGATCATTCTTAAAGATTGTTGTATATAGTAGTACAGTTCTGTACAGAAAATGAAAGGAAACATTACTATTTTCTTGACCTAGCACTTCATTGTCAACATATTTATAATTAATTTATTAAACACATACATCCGTTTATTTTGTTACTGTATTTATACTTAAAATTTCTATTTATGTACTCCAAATATTGTCTTTTAAAAAATATTGTCTGGACAAAATGTAGTGATGATTTCACAATTTCAGTAATTGTGAATTGGAAATGAAACTAAAAATGTGTGTGAAATCTGTAGATTTAGTGTGTTTTATTTTTAATAAAAATAAAAATGTAACAGTTTAACTTTTTGTATTTATTATATGTTTAATCTAGCAATAATTCAAGTTATATTAATGTAAAACACAACACGCAGTAAATTACGTAGAAAAAGAATGTGCACACATGATGAAAGTGCAATATAAATATATTTTAAAACATAATGCAACTCAGTGGGCACTCCAATTATGGCCAGCTTCAATTATGAGTTCTAGAATCCTGGAGGAAAAGGAATTATTTAGTGTTGCCAAAAAGATAAGAGTGTGGTCACCAGGTGAGCCTTCTTGGGGAGGGCATGCAATGAATGGATCACAATACATGAGAATCAGAACTGTGATTGAGCATAAGCTCAATGTTTGTTTTGCTCCTGTTATAGATGAGCGCTGGAAAACAATGGAACTATGCCACTGAATTACTCCCATCCAATTCTGTTTCCCCTGTACTTTGCCTTCTCAGATTCCGAAATTGTCTGGATGTTTTAAATGATGCCTTGCAGACACCAGATCTTGTGTAGTCTTGGAAGATAAGCAGAGTCAGGCTTGCTTATTACTTGAACTGGAGACCACAAAGGAATACCAGGTGTTGCAGGCTATATTCAGAGGAAGGCAATGGCAAACTACCTCTGGATATTCCTTGCCAGATGTACAGCAAAATCTTGGACCAGTTCAGATAATTTCTGCAGTGCTGTTTAGATGCTCTGTCCCCGAAAGGAAAGGAATATAGAAGCACCTTTAAGACTAACTAGTTTTTATTTTAGCATGAACTCTCATGGAAAAAAATTAACTTCTTCAGCTGCAGCACAGGGTGATATCAAAGTCTCATATTAAAAAGCATATTTATACAGATGTGGGAATGGCACAGAATGGAATAGGAGTTGCAAATCTTAAATTTGCATCCTTATCCCAAGGGCTGGGTGGTGTGATACTGATCTTTCAGATCTTTATAATGATGGGTTAGTGTGGACGTGTGAGAGCAATAAACCTGACGACCAAAAGTCAGATTTATTGCTTTCACACATCCCTGGGTTGAAAATCCTCTGAGAAGATTTGTTTTGTTATGCAGTAGGGAGAACACTTGTTTATGTAGCATACCACAAAGAGAGCCAGTGTGATGTTATGGTTTGAAGATTATATTCTTTTCTAGGCTTTCTTTGTAATTTCCCTGTTCAAGAACCAATGAACCGTAAATCCCTTTCAGTTCATCCAGGAAAGTTTAAATGTTCTGGGCCTGGTTTGGGAGATATTATCATTTTTAACTGCAGAATATTTATTTCTCCAGTGTTATTTCACATAGCAGCTGAAGTGTCGGTCTCACTGATCCCCACTCAGTTTCCTTTTGCAGATTGGTAGATATGGAGAAATGCAAATGTGATCAATCAACACTGGGCTTCTCTATGTAGCTCACCATAATGTGACTACAAACTTCAAAGGAAGGCAGGAGCATCCACAGTGGATCGGTTGGTGGGTGGGCGAGCAGGCGTTCTTCCCAGCCTTGAGAAATTCCATAGCAGGAGAACAGCATCTTCCTGCTCTTCAGCAATCTGGATGAGATACTTAACTTCCTTTGATGTGCCTAGTGTAGGAACAGGCTAGATAGATTTGCCTGTTCCTGTGCTCTATCATACATCATCTAAGTCATAGGCTATTTCTTTTCCTTTATCAAACAATGTATTGCTGTGAACAGGAAAAAAAGAAAGAACTACCCTGTTTTCAGGAAAAGAGCCATCACTCTTATTCACAAGATTACATAAACATTGACTTAAATGCAAAGCAACAAGATGTTTTGTCTGGCAAGAGAATGCTCCTTTTTAGGCAAATACCATATATATGTTGCAGCAACTCAGTCAAAGAGAAGATGGGATCCTTAGCAGCAAGAACAATGGCTCCACCAGACTTGGTGTCAGGAATGTGATTTATTTTTTGATACATGTTTTTCAACATATATTTTAATTACTGGGGCCAGCAACACAATGGTAAGGTGTGCCCATACCATTAAACAAGGGAGTGCTCTGCTCAGATGGCCATTTCTTGATTTAAGGCATTGGCATGCTGGCCAATCTCCAACAGAGGGTGGGCGGGAGATGTCACTGCCTTGGTCCTTTCATTATTGGCTGCTACTTCACAGCGGATGTCAGGTGGTGCAATACCAGCTAAACAGTATAATTTCTCCAGTGGTGGTGGGGGAGTAACATTGAAGGCACACAACAAAAGCCCACCTTAATCCCCATTATTGGGGAAAGGATGGGAAAATACTTGTGTGTCTTCATGTAAATTCCAGTTTAGGGTAATCCAAATATTACTCTTTCATGGGATTTTCTTGGCAGATTTTATTCAGAGGTCGTTTGTCCTCAGCTTTGCTTTTAGTCTAAGGGTGTGTGACTTGCCACAACTAAGCAGAAATTTAAACCTTTGCCTCTTGGAATCTTATTAAACCCTTCGTGCTGACTGTTTACATCACAGAAGTGAGACTCTGTGTCAATACTTTCATTTAATTTTGTAAATAAAATGTAAAAAAAACCTACAGAAGAAGCTAGTCAGAAGAAACAGCAGAATTTGAATATAGCTACTATCACCAGTCCATTGACAGTGGGTGGAACTGAAATAAAGGCTGTATCTACACTGCTATATAATGCAGTTTGAACTGCATTATATGGTAATTGTAGATCCAGCTTGATACCTTAAATGCTACACATATTTTAACAGCCCAGCCTCATGAGGGCCCTCTTGGTCAGTTGATCATATCTCCTTTCTGGTTCCTAGCCAGCATCCTGCTTCTTGGCAGAGGGTTGGACTGGATGACCCACGAGGTCTCTTCCAACTCTATGCTTCTATGATTTTACAACATTGCAATAACTCCCTTCACCATTCTACTTATCTTGAATTTAGGGGGGATGTTATCTTCCTTCCTTAACTCCAAACAACCTCAGCATCACACTTACAGGTTTTCCATGTCTATGGCTATTTACAATAAAAGCCTGCCTATAAAGGTCTGTTCTTGGGCACTCCATTCCATGAACTAAATCCAAACATTAGCTTCAATGAGCATAGGCTTCTTCCGTCAATAGGATTTACTTAAGTGTGGATTAATCAAGTTTATGTTGATTCAAAATGTCCATATTAGTTGGGACTAATATCTGGATTTGGCCCAGTGGATGGTTAATAACAAGTACTCGCAAGTAATAATGAATGTGATAAAGCAGTTGATGAATGAGAGTTATTTTCCCAACAATCAAACCAATGAGTTTCAAAGAATGCTCTTAAACCTTATCTGCTTTTCTTGCGCAAATATAATCAGTCAGTTTATTAATTATATAGTAGATGTCTTCCCATTCAGATGTCAGACAAAGAGACAACTATATTATACTTCTTAAAAGTGATGTTTGCATTCAGGTGGCAAATTGCACCTTGCCCTTTGCTCAGTGACAAATTCTTCCAGCTTTCTATTCAACAATTTCTTTAAGTAACTGAAGTAGCTGTTTACAGAAGGACATTCTGACTGATAACTCTGGAGGGATTGTCCTGTTAAACCAGGTAGGATTAGATGTGAGCTTGAACCATGCACTTGAACAGCCATGTCTGGGTCACTCTGTACTTGAAAAAATAGCTGAAACACTCACATAGACTCTTGTAAAAATTGAAGAAGAAAGGGAAGTGTGGAGTTCATCTATTTGTTCTTCTAATATTTTGAAGACTAACACACCTCATAAAATATTAATGCCAGCTTTCTGCCAAAAAGGAAAGCAACAAAGTGATAATCTGAATTGCCTTGAAATATTTAAATTCCTTCCCCAATATACATGTTTATGTATGAAATGTGTTATATATTTTGGTCAGTTTTAATGACTTAATTTATTTTTAATAGTCTCTTCTTTAATTCTGTCTGAATGTGTATATATTTTAGGGTTATATATATATATATATATATATATATATTACACATATATATACATAACGCTATATATATATCGCTATATATATATCACACACATATATATACATAACGCTATATATATATCGCTATATATATATCGCTATATATATATAACGCTATATGTGTATAACTAGTTATACATATATAGCGTTATATATATATAGCGATATATATATATAGCGTTATGTATATATATGTGTGTGATATATATACACACACACACACACACACACACACGAGATATATATATATATATATATATATATATATATATATATATATACATACATACATACATACATACAGGAGCCCCCGGTGGCGCAGTGGGTTAAAGCGCTGAGCTGCTGAGCTTGTTGACCAAAAGGTCGCAGGTTCGAATCCGGGGAGCGGCATGAGCTTCCACTGTCAGCCTCAGCTTCTGCCAACCTAACAGTTTGAAAACATGCAAATGTGAGTAGATCAATAGGTACTGCTCCAGCAGGAAGGTAACAGTGCTCCATGAAGTCATGCTGACCACATGACCTTGGAGGTGTCTACATCTCCAGCTTAAAAATGGAGATGAGCACCACATCCCAGAGTCGGACACAACTGGACTTCATGTGAGGGGAAAACCTTTACCAACCTCTCTCTCTCTCTCTATATATAGCATTGTTTTTCACTTTGATTACCTTTAAAGAGAGAAAATGTGGGTTATAAACAACAACAACAATTCCCATCCTTACAACTATTAAGCAGCATTATGGTCTTTCCTCTATATCAGGCATGGGCAAACTTTGGCCCTCCAGGTGTTTTGGACTTTGACTCCCACAATTCCTACCATCTTTTAGGAATTGTGGGAGTTGAAGTCAAAAACACCTGGAGGGCCAAAGTTTGCCCATGCCTGCTCTAGATCCACATTTTAACATTCTTGTAGCACTATCATTGCCATATGATCTTTTGATAAGATGCTTTATAAAAGTCTTGGGAAGAGAAAACATGGGAAGTTGAATTCTTTTTATATGCTTTGTAACACTGGATGATGGGATGTACTACACAACTGGTGATACTGAGAAGCGAGATTCGTTTGTATATATGCTTTGCAATTCTAGATAATGGGATACCACATACATAAAATTGTTTAACTATAGATAGTAAGTTCATCGTTAAAAATGGAGATGAAATTGAGGAAATAACTGAAAACATATATCTTGGTCAACAAGTACAGTTGAATAATTTGCCAAAATAATTTACCAAAAGCAAATGGGCAAGAAGACACTAGGTTGCTTGGATGGCTTTTATTTGAAACCGGACAGTGCTAACTGATGATAAGATGCCAATGAAGGTCAGAGCAGATATCTAAAACATTGAGCCAACAATGTGATGCTGTGTCAAAAAAAGCCAATGGGATTTTGGCCTGCATCAATAGGAGCATAGTGTCTAGATCTAGGGAAGTAATGCTATCCCTCTATTCTGCCTTGGTTAGGCCACACCTGGGATATTGTGTCCAATTCTGGGCACCACAATTGAAGAGAGATATTGACAAGCTGGAATGTGTCCAGAGGAGGGCGACTAAAATGATCTGGAGAACAAGCCCTATGAGGAGCGGCTTAAAGAGCTGGGTATGTTTAGTCTAAAGAAGAGAAGACTGAGAGGAGACATGATAGCCATGTATATGTATGTGAGAGGAAGTCATAGGGAGGAGGGAGCAAACTTGTTTTCTGTTGCCCTGGAGATTAGCACACAGAACAATGGCTTCAAACAACAAGAAAGGAAATTCCATCTGAACATTAGGAAGAACTTCCTGATTGTGAGAGCTGTTCAGCAGTGGAACTCTCTGCCCCAGAGTGTGGTGGAGGCTCCTTCTTTGGAGGCTTTTAAACAGAGGCTGGATGCCCATCTGTCGGGGGTGCTTTGAATGCAATTTTCCTGCTTCTTGGCAGGGGTTTTGACTGGTGGCCCATGAGGTCTCTCCTAACTCTATGATTCTACGATTCTATGATTCTATGACTACAGTCTTATCGGCAATGTTATACACATCTGAAACATGAGAAACACCAAAGTAAGAGGAGGAAAAACTGGCAGTGACTCAGAGAGCAATGGAAAGAAGGATGTGTGGTGTGACAATAAGAGATCAAGTCACCAAAAAAGAACCAGAGCACATGACGTGGTCAATGAAATCTATGAGGCAAAAAGCAGATGAGCAAGGCATATAGTATGAACAAAAGACAACTGATGGACATATCGACTAATGAACTGGATACCAAGAGATCACAAGTGGCCCTTAGGAAGACTTTGGACTCAATAGGACAAACCAATAGCTAAGTTATTCAGCCAGAAATGGAAAAGAAAAGCATAGGATTGTATATTTTAGCAAATGGTTGATTTGTGTGAAGCCTAAAGGAGTGGATCGACAACAAATCAAATAGGATAGGATTAAATTCATCAAATTAAATGTATATCATTCATTAAAGGGCCAACAGAAATGCATATACACTTTCTCATTAGTTGGACTGATAAGTAATACAGGAAGGCAACTGTCAGAGTATTTATTATTTATGTATTTGCACAGATGGTCAGAAGAGGGGAGGGGGGTGAGGGAAAGTGGTGTGGCAGTTTCCAAAGGTATCTGATGCAATCTAGCTGGAGGGTTGGCATGTTTGCTCTGCATGGAGTGGCCTCATAATAATGGAAGATCTATGTTTTCATTAAGACCTTTTGATGCCCAGGTTTTCAGCCTCTCTAGTAAAATAACATAATACAATAATTATTTAAAGAACTTTTGGTAGTGGAATACATTGCTTCAGAGTGGTCTGGACTCCATTTTTTGAGGTCTTCAAACACAACTTGGGCAAGTTTTGGGAGTGCGGTGAATCTACACCAGGTATGGACAAACTTTGGCCCTCCAGGTGTTTTGGACTTCAACACCCACAATTCCTAACAGCCTTTCGGCTGTTAGGAACTGTGCGAGTTAAAATCCAAAACACCTGGAGGGATAGCTGAAGTTTGATCATGCCTGGTCTTCACTATAGAGTTAATGCAGTTTGGCACCACTTTCCCTGCCATGGCTCAATGCTGTGTAATCACGAGGGCTGTAGTTTGGTGAAGTCCCAGCACTCTTTGGCAGAGAAGGTTAAGGACTTTGTGAAATTACAACTCCTATGATTCCCTAACATTGGGAATCATAGTAGTTAAAGTGGTATAAAACTGCATTAATTCTGCAATGAGTCTTTGGCTGGATTTACACTGCCCAATAATGCAGTCTCAGAATGCAGTTTAGTGCTTTTACTGCTTTTATATGGTCTGTACACTGCTTAGCCGGTATTGCACCACCTGACATCCACCGGGAAGTAGCAGCCAATAGTGAAAGGACCAAGGCAGAAACAGCTCCAGCTCATCCCCTGTTTGGGTATCAGCCAGCATGTCTACGACTTAAATCTAGACATAGTTTTCTAAGATCTACAGAGACACTCGCTGGAACACAGCAGCAAGCGAGAGTCCAAAAGTGGCAGGCTCAAACCCAGAATCTCAACCAATGGCTGATACCAAATGAGAGACTCCCCCCTGGGCACACAGAGGACTGGGCGACTTGGAAGGTGCTGAACAGACTGCGCTCTAGCACCACAAGATGCAGAGCCAATCTTCAGGAATGGGGCTACAAAGTGGAATCCTCGACATGCGAATGGGGAGAGGAGCAAACCACTGACCACCTGCTGCAATGCAACCTGAGCCCAGCCACATGCACCATGGAGGACCTCCTTGCGGCAACACCAGAGGCACTCCAAGTGGCCAGATACTGGTCAAAGGAGATTTAATCAACTACCAAACTCACACATTTTGTATTTTGTCTGTTTGTTTGCTTTGTTCTGTTAGAAATGTAATATAATTGACTGGTTGCCCTGAAACGAGAAATAAAAAATAATAAATAAATAAATAAAATATGGTCTGTATTATATGTTAATGTTTTGAATTATATTTTATGTTGTTGGTGACATTACCGATTGTAAACCGCCTCGAGTCGCCTTCGGGCTGAGAGAGGCTGTATATAAGTATGGTTGGTAAATAAATAAATAAATAAATAAATAAATAAATAAATAAATAAATGTATTGCACTGGATTATATGAGTCTACACTCATATGCAGGTGATCTGCATTCTGAAACTGCTCTACAGGAACTTTGTAGAAGGCGCCACTTTCTTTTTCCACAGAGGACGCGCGCCCTCCAGTGGCATGTCTGCGGAACGACAGGAGAAAAAGATGCCGGGAAGGGAATGAACTCACCGCGTGCTCCGGATTCCGGCCCTGACGTCACGAGGGGAAGCCGGCTCCTTCTACGGAGCATGCGTAGAACGGCCCTGGGGATGGATCCCTCCGGCTTGCCGTCCATAGTTCTGCGCATGATTGGGAGGACTGCTTGTGAGGAAGAGTTGCTCGGGAGCCGTCCAGCGGAGCCGTGATGGAAGAAGGCGGCCTTGAGCCGGATGCTTTCGACGCCATCGTCATGGCAGAGGCAAGGTACGTGGGCTCACCGTGGTTTCGGGCCTACTCTCTGGGCCTTTTGGATTTAACTTTCTCCTTCGCCTCTGTACTGGGAGAGAGAGAGAGAGAGACAGGCCCCTTCCACACAGCTGAATAAAATCCCACATTATCTGCTTTGAACTGGGTTATATGGCAGTGTGGACTATGCCTTGATAATTCTGGGTTATATAGCTGTGAGGAAGGGCCCAGAGAATCATAGAATCCTAGAGTTGGAAGAGACCTCATGGGCCATCCAGTCCAACCCCCTGCCAAGAAGCAGGAATATTGCATTCAAATCACCCCTGATAGATGGCCATCCAGCCTCTGCTTAAAAGCCTCCAAAGAAGGAGCCTCCACCACACTCGGGGGCAGAGAGTTCCACTGCTGAACGGCTCTCACAGTCAGGAAGTTCTTCCTCATGTTCAGATGGAATCTCCTTTCTTGTAGTTTGAAGCCATTGTTCTGCGTCCTAGTCTCCAGGGAAGCAGAAAACAAGCTTGCTCCCTCCTCCCTATGACTTCCTCTCATGTATTTATGCATGGCTATTGTGTCTCTTTATAGATTTCATGGCGAAGGCTACCAGGAAGGCTATGCTGAAGGACTTCATGCTGGTGTCATTGAAGGAAGGCAATATGGAGTGCAGCAAGGGGCTAACATTGGATTAGAAGTATGTGCTGATCTTGTTTCAAGCAAGAGATATATATTAATCTGTAACCAAACATCTGCAGTTCTATAATTGACCTTATTGAAATTCTCTGGCAGTAAAAACACATTCATTTAATCCAAATTAAGCTTTGTGTAACTATTTATTTAAGATTTTTTAAAAAAGAAAATGTGACTTGAGCTGCTGTTATTAGAGAGGAAGTAATATTGTTAGTATTGGTAACATAAGAATAAAAATACCTCTTTTTCAAATATATAGATTGGGTCATATCTTGGTTTTGCAGTGACATGGAAGAAATTGCTTAATGCCGGTTCTGATGAAAAACACAGGTAGGTATGAAACTATACATTCATATTCTCTCTTTCTTTCTCTGTCACTCTCTCTCTCACACACACACACAATGAACCAGGTAGGAATTTATTCACTTGTGGAGTGGGATTTTGAACCAGGGGATTAGTTCTAGTGATGTGGTAGAGCGTATTATTTGTATACATTCTTCACTCTTTTCTTGTTATTTCCTGTACTTTCACGAAACTTGGTGTGTGGGGTTAGGGAAATGCTGTAACAATAAGGAGGTTCGCTCAAGAAACTTCAATCAGGAAAGAGAATGATAAGGGAGCAAGTAATATTTTCTCAATTTATTTCAGATCTCCTTATCATAGGTTTATTTCTCAGATGTGTGATTTTTCTTTTGGATTAAGACAAAAAATACCTGTAGGGAGAGGCAGAGAATACTGGAAAAGGAAATAAAGGTGCAGACAATCACAGCCTGAGAGTTACAGTCAAGATGGGGGTGAAGAGGAATTAAAGAAGGCAGCATTATTTACCTACTCTTCCTTGCATTTGGACTTAAAGCCTAAAAACGACAGCACTGGCTGCTGTGCCTGCTCAGTATTCTAAATCGTATCAGTTATGTATTACATCTAGACCTTTGGAAACATGGTACAGAAAACTTCACTTCTTAAATATTTTAAGAAAGCTCAGCAGAAATATTCAGTTGAATCACTTTAGATAATGCTTGCTTGAACTGATAACATTATTGCTGTAGGTGATTTTGGCTTCTTGAACAAGAGGATCTAAGTTAGGTTTTTATAATGTAATAATAATAATAATAATAATAATAATAATTTATTTCTAGATCGCCCTCTCTCTCCAGAGGGACTCAGGGCAATTTACACACACAAATGCATACATTCAATGCTTCAAAATGGGTGCAAACATCAAAATAATACAGATAATGGATAGTAAAAAACAAGAAACAACTAAAGAATTGAGTATCGAAATAAAAATAAAATGAGAACAATCGACTAAGACATAAAAAACTAAAACACGAGTAAACATTACAATATACACCCTAAAAGCAAATTAAGAAACATTTTATTTATTTATTTATTTATTTATGACATTTATATGCCGACCTTCTCACCCCAAAGGGGACTCAGAGGAGCTTACAAGATATATATACATACAATATATTATATTATTAGCATAGTACAATATCAGTATTATATATTACTATATTGTACTATACCATTATATTGTAATATTATTAGTAATATTACATGTAATATAAAATATATAATGATAATATTGTATTATTATTATTATTATTAGTAGTAGTATTATATTGTATTACATTATAATATTTTAAATATTGTATGTATATACAATATATTATTAGTAAAGCACAGGAGACAAAATCGAACTACCTTCTGCCCCCTTTCTCTTCACTCTGGCCAGAGCAGAAAACAGTTTTTGTGTCCTCCCCTCATGTAATACATACCCTCGAGGGATGGTTCCTTGAACTGCTAGGGCATATTTTCGGCACTTTGGAGATGGCTGCCAATAATAGCACGTGGATGTAGTTTCCATTTCTCCTTCAGATACAGAGGTGATTCTTAATTGGCTGAATTCCACTGATAGACGTTGAGAGATGAGGTCATGTGTGGAAGAATATTGGTGCTTTTCATAGACAAGCATTTCTGGGCTCGCTGCCTGACAGATGGATACCTCTCTGTTCTAGCTGGTGCCAGATTGCTTAATAGGGGTATTTACTTGTACATTGCAGAGCCTCTTCCAGAAAACTGTGCTTTGAAAACAGAATGAAATCACATTTCAGTCCTCTTGCACCAGATACAGGAATAGGAATGTAAAACATAAGGTTTAAGCCCCTGAAATATAGTCTAAAGCAGGCCTTCTTTGTATTATGAAATAACTTTTTTCATACATATGTGATGCCTTCATGTTTTTCAGTAAAAAGGCAAAAGTTCTAGAGTCCTTAATAGAGATGATTGAGAAATTTCCCCATGAAGATCCAGTCTATGAGAGACTTCAAGATGACCTAGAGAAAATTAGAGGACGATTCAAGCAGGTTGGTTGCCAATTTAAACACTGGGACAAAAGATATTTCCAAAGGATTTTTTAAAAGTATGTTTCTGCCAGTGGAATAATCACCTCTGGAGGACTGAGGGCCTTTCAGAGCAGATTAGGAAGGAGAGAGGCATAAGGGGGAAAAAAGAAGGCCTTTGAATTGGTGATTTTTGCATATCACTTGCATACTGTTGAAGTGAAATAATTCCATAATGATATAATATAGCTGAGGAACTGATAGAGATGATGTGTAACATAAATGTAATTTTTAAAATCCAAACTAGTGGTTTCTCTTTCTTATTATAGGCTTGTTCATTGCTGCATATTCCATCTGATGCTCGACTTGGATCTGGAGGATCTGCTCTCACATTCTGAAAACCACCTGGACAGAGATGAAAAGCATTTTTGTTTCAACAAACAGTGAAATCTTGGACAGACAAATTAAGCAGAAAAATATTTTTACATACATATATAGAGAGAGAGAGAGAAGAGAGAAGAAAGCTAATATTTCTATAGGACTATGCGTATTGTATGTTGCTTGACTGCACTCAGTTCCATTTGGATACTCCAGTTTAAGAAGGTAGTGACTCTATGATGAGGTGATCTGTTCAAGAACTATTTCGAAATTAATGTTGGACGTTGTCCTGAAACATAATGATTACAAAACAATACTAATTTAGCAGTTTTACTAATGTTAAGTAAATACGTAGCTTTGAATGGATTTAAGACATTTACAAACATGTTTTCTTCTCTGAAGATTTTATCCATGAACTTGACATTCTCCTGGAAATATGTCTAAAAATATATTTCACTATATTAGTGCAAGGAACCCAGTCAACGATCTGTGTAACAGATGTTATGTGATTTCACAAATGTAGTATCATCTGGGATGATGCAGCATTACAGTGATAAGTGATTTATTTATGAGCTATATTGAAATACAAATATCTGAGTAAAAATAAGCTTAAACTGAGGTCAGAAGTTTTTTTGTAACAACCATCACCATGTGGGTGTGCCCAATAAAGTAGGGGAATGACTTTGCCATAATACATTTCTGGGAATATGATTTACTTGATATGAAGCAAGTGGCAAGGTCTACAGCAATTTCGCAGGTGCCAAAGATAACCCCAGTTCTTCAATTAACTTTAAAGTGTCTCTGGGGAAGAAACTGAATTGGGCTTGGAGGCTTAGCTCTGTCAATGCTACTCCAAAGTGGTGGTCCACGGATTGGTGCAAGGTTTACGAGGTTTTGGCTGCCAGTACCTGCTGAGTTTCTGGGAAAGAAGCAGTTGTAGCCAAAGAGCACGAGTATGGTAACAGTCCAAGGCATGTAAGCAAAAACATTTGCTGCTTCTTGGGAAGCACTGACATGCAGGAACTTCATGGCAAGTCTTTCTCTTTCCATGTCCTTTGGCATCACCATTCATGAAGAGGTCACAGTAAATTTTCACTGTCTGCTTGTACAAGTAAGGCCTGGGTCTACCTGCTCTTTCCTGTCCATATGATGAAATAACACGAAAGCCGCATGCATGAGTGCAAGGAGAAGGTTGAAGCATTGTTTTTGAAACCCTGTTTCATCAGGTGTGTTGCTGATTGTTGTATCCCATGCCCATAATTTTCTTGCATTGTTTGTCTGGACTTCCCTTACTGACTTCTATAATAAAAGGAATAAAAGATGTTCTAAATCTGTTTACTTTTCCCTCCTAGTATATGACTATCATTGTGTGATTACTTGTGTGATGGAGTTCACACAGTTTGCTCAGCCAGAGTGAAAAGGTTGGGTGATGTGGAAGAGCAGCAGAGACCTTTTATTCTCCAGTCCATATTTCTTTGCTGCAGGACTATTTGCTGAACAAAGGGAAGTCATGGGAGAAAACAGCAATGATAAGCTCTTTGGGGTTGAGGAACAGGGCCAATGGAAGTTGCCTCCAGCATCATTTGGACTGCTGTCCAGCAGCATCTGAGAAGTCACTCATACCCCTCTTGCCCTATTGGGCCCTACTTACACAGGTGCTGTCTCCAAAGGAAGTTTGTGTCCTGTTTGTTAACTATTGGAGTAGATCAACATGAGAAAATGTTAGTTTAGAGCCACCTAGTGGGAAAACTCATATCAGCCAGAAAACTCTGCTTTTGTGTTTTGTAGGCTGCTAGAAAGGGGTAAGGGTTATTCATTCATTTTCCAGATAATTAGAATAGAATTCACTGCATTTCTCCTCAAAAACTGGGATTTCAAATGTAAACAACATTACAATGAAAGCATACAATACTGAAACCAATCTCTTGAATGAGCCAGTTGCTGAAACTGAAACAACTTGTGCAATATCTGGAATTGGATTTTCTTTGTTCCATGTTCTATTGTGTAACTAATTATTCTCATATTTCAATTACATTGCAAAATAGGGCGCAATGCAGTAACGTCTATTGAGAAGCATTCACGATTTATTGTATACATTTAACGGTGTGCTCGTGTTCCATATATTTCTTCTGAAGTTGAATAGTTTTCATTCTTGTTTCCTAAACGTCCTTTTGCATTCGACCGAAAACAGGCAACAGTGACCACATTGTCTGTGGCTTTAATCAATTCTTCCTCTTTGCATGACGCAGGGCATTGTAGGCAAACATACAGATGTGGAGTTGTTTGTTCTGCTCTATAGTAGCACAAGGTGGAGGATTCTAGGTAGTGCCATTTTGCCAGATTGTCTTTTGATCTGCCCACTCCACTTCTGGGTCTGATTTGCCCCTGGAGGCAGACCCTCGTGGTAGCCAACCAGTTGAGATTTTCTGGTTTAGCTGCCCGGAGGGATAGTCTTGCTGTTGCTGGGAGGGGGGACATTAAGAGGAGTGGTGGTTCTCATGAAGCTTTTCCTTGATTTGAGTCTACTCAGAGGAGGCTGATAGTCATGCAGTGGATGGCTTTCACAGCATTCAACCTTATTTCTCTCACAGTTAGCAACTTCCCATCACACAACCCGGGGGGGGGGGGGGATGCCAGATAGCTAATGAACCAACCAGTCATTGCCCATTGCCCTATTATACCATGGTAACGGCCGACAGGGAGCTCTGGCGTGGGCTGGTCCATGAGGTCACGAAGAGTCGGAGACGACTGAACGAATGAACAACAACAACCATGACTTTTACAGTATGGACTTAGATTTCAAAATCTGTAGGGCAAATGTGAATTACTTTATAAGAGTTAAATATTTTTTAAATGTACCGTATGATTGAAACACCTTGAGATCTTTAAAACACACACAGAGATAAGGTGCAAAATCCAGCTATTCCTTTGTAGCCCTGTTCTCTAACCAGAAAATCATAGTGGAATTTATAGTTCCAGTGCATTTGAAGTTGCTAGGTTGGGATAGGCTGCTTTATAGCATTGTGAATAATTTTGTGTGTGGATGCTTGCCATAGATGCAGGTGAAACATCAGGAGAGAATGCTTCTAGAACATGGCCATATAGCCCGAAAAACCTACAACAACCCAATTTTGTGTGTGCTTGGGATTTTTGAAAATTCACCCTTTGTGAAAATTGAGATCTTACAGAAACTTCTTTGTCCACTTAAACAAATGTCTTATGTTCTTGTAGGTTTTTTTGGGCTATACGGCCATGTTCCAGAGGCATTTCTCCTGACGTTTCGCCTGCATCTATGGCAAGCATCCTCAGAGGTAGTAACTAGTGAGGTCTGTTGGAAATAGGAAAATGGGTTTATATATCTGTGGAATGACTGGGGTGGGGCAAAGAGCTCTCCGCTGAAACTAGGTGTGAATGTTTCAGCTGATCACCTTCATTAGCATTTGAAGGCTTGGCTGAGCCTGGGAAAATGTTCTGTTGAGAGGTGTTAAGATGTGCCTGGTTGTTTCCTCTCTGCTGTTTTGCTGTAGTAATTTTAGAGTTTTTTAATACTGGTAGCCAGATTTTGTTCATTTTCATGGTCTCCTCCTTTCTGTTGAAATTGTCCACATGCTTGTGGATTTCAATGGCTTCTCTGTGTAGTCTGACATGGTGGTTGTTGAGAGTGGTCCAGCATTTCTGTGTTCTCAAATAATATGCTGTGTCCAGGCTGGTTCATCAGGTGCTCTGCTATGGCTGACTTCTCTGGTTGAAGTAGTCTGCAGTGCCTTTCATGTTCCTTGATTCGTGTTTGGGCGCTGCGTTTGGTAGTCCCTATGTAGACTTGTCCACAGCTGCAGTGCATGGTATATGGTAGACCCCTACAGAGGTGAGAGGATCCCTCTTGTCCTTTGCTGAACGTAGCATTTGTTGGATTTTCTTGGTGGGTTTGTAGATTGTTTGTATGTTGTGTTTCCTCATCAGCTTCCCTATGCGGTCAGTGGTTCCCTTGATGTATGGCAGGAACACTTTTCCTCTGGGTGGATCTTCATCTTGACTCTCGTGGCTTGTTCTTGGTCTTGCAGCTCTTCTGATATCTGAGGTGGAGTACCCATTGGCCTGTAGAGCCCAGTTGAGGTGGTTCAGTTCATCTTGGAGGAGGTGGGGTTCACAGATTCTTTTTGCACGGTCTGCCAAGGTTTTAATGGTGCTTTTTTGACTTGGGTGATGGTTGGAGTTTTTGTGTAGATATCTATCTGTGTGTGTGGGTTTTCTGTAAACGGTGTGACCCAATTGTGGATCTGGTTTGCGGATGACTAGGACATCTAGAAAAGGCAGTCTTCCTTCATTTTCTTTTCCATCAAGGAACATGAAAGGCACTGCAGACTACTTCAACAGAGAAGTCAGCCATAGCAGAGCACCTGATGAACCAGCCTGGACACAGCATATTATTTGAGAACACAGAAATGCTGGACCACACCAACAACCACCATGTCAGACTACACATAGAAGCCATTGAAATCCACAAGCATGTGGACAATTTCAACAGAAAGGAGGAGACCATGAAAATGAACAAAATCTGGCTACCAGTATTAAAAAACTCTAAAATTACTACAGCAAAACAGCAGAGAGGAAACAACCAGGCACATCTTAACACCTCTCAACAGAACATTTTCCCAGGCTCAGCCAAGCCTTCAAATGCTAATGAAGGTGGTCAGCTGAAACATTCACACCTAGCTTCAGCAGAGAGCTCTTTGCCCCACCCCAGTCATTCCACAGATATATAAACCCATTTTCCTATTTCCAACAGACCTCACTACCTCTGAGGATGCTTGCCATAGATGCAGGCGAAACGTCAGGAGAAATGCCTCTGGAACATGGCCCTATAGCCCGAAAAAACCTACAACAACCTAGTGATTCCAGCCATGAAAGCCTTCGACAATACAAATGTCTTATGAACTTTCTTGATGAGAAGAATGAGTAAGACTGAACTCCAAAGTGGCACAGCATGGAAACCTTGGGAGGCTACCTGTTAGGATTTTCCTTGGTGGCACCCTTTATTAAGTGAGGAGTAATATACTAGAAGAAAAAGAAATATAAGTACCAATTAACTGCCGCACACAATTAACTAGGATTTGATGTTTTAATCTATAGAATCACATTTTGCTGAAGATTCTTCATAGAATTTGACCTATAATGTAGATGTTTGGGGACATTGTGATCTGCATGGTTGTAAATACCATCATAAATTTCAGGAATTTGTTACACTACTTTAAAAAATAAACAAAAACGGAAAAGCATTCCAACAAATTAATTGATTTTTGGCATTGGGTTTTTGTTTTGTACCTGATAAAGTCAACATATTAGACAAAAATGTCTAATATGTTAGAGTGGGGTTTGGAGAGGGGCATTGAAATTTTTGCTGGGATCCATTAATAACTTCAATACAATACTAATATACTAATACTAATATACTAATATCTGGATTTATTTTCCTTGTGGAGTCCCCGGTGGTACAATGGGTTAAACCCTTGTGCCGGCAGGACTGCTGACTGAAAGGTCAGCAATTAAAATCTGGGGAGTAGGGTGAGATCCCATCTTTCAGCTCCAGCTTCTCATGTGGGGACATGAGAGAAGCCTCCCACAGGATGGTAAAACATCCGGGCGTCCTCTGGGCAATGTCCTTGCAGATGTCCAATTCTCTCACACCAGAAGCAATTTGCAGTTTCCCAAGTTGCTCTTTACACGGAAAAAGAAATTCCTTGAGTTTTTTGGCTGCGAGTGTTTGAATGAAACATTTAATTCTGGGTAAATAAACATCCCTTTTGAACATAGGGCATTTTTATACCCTGTTGTAGAGAAGTGTCTATTATAACTGTGTTTTAAACTGTGTTTATGCTTTACATTGTAGCCATGACCTAGCTGAGAGAGATAGGTTACCATGGTGATAGGCCAGAGGAGGTGGGCGGAGCTTAAGTAGGAAAGGTTTGAAAACGACAGTTTAATGTCAGTCAGGCGGATGAGACCCTGAAGGACAGAGTCAAAGGGGACTCTGGGATAATAGTTCAGTCAGGGGAATGAAACCCTGAGGGGCAGAGTCAACTGGGACTCTGGCATAATTTCAGTCAGGCGGATGAGACCCTGAAGGACAGAGTCAAAGGGGACTCTGGGATAATAGTTCAGTCAGGGGGAATGAGACCCTGAAGGACAGAGTCAGTTGAGGCTCTGTGGTGTAGTGTAAATTCAGCCAGTTCTTAGGATTTGTAAATATTATTCCAGCTAGGAAGCTGGAGGTGAAACCTCGTTAGATTGCTTGAGTAAAGAAAGAATCTAACAAGAAAGAGGTTTAGGGATCCCAGTGGTGAAT